GGGCACCCCGTTTGCCAGTGGCTTGGGGGGTGGGGGGATCCTGTTTAGTAATCTTGCCCCCATCTTCAACTTTAAACTGAGAGATGTAAAACTTTTGGGAATTTTTGAAGCAATTGGGGGGCATCCCCCCCCCGGATTTTTTTGGGAGGGATGGAAATGTTGAGAAAATTGAAATATATGCAATACTTGGTTTCCTATCAACGCTCGGCTTATTTTACTGCTTTAACTACATCAGATGCATAATAGAATATAAAATCGTGCTCTTATGTTTATGGAATTTACAAGTTTATATGCCTGTGGGAGCAATCTTAACTTAAGTAGGTCTGTGCTGAAATAAATATCATTTTATTCAGTGGGGCTTACTTTCAGGAAAGGTTTTTTAGGATGGCAGGTTTGGCTTTCTACTAACAAAATTGCAAATAATTCTCATACTTGAGAGAAAACAGCAGCACCATCTGCTGCCTTATCACATAGATCTTAATTTTTGCCACCTGAAAGGTAGAAGCAGGGAGGCTCAGTTGGGCAGTTGAGGGAGAAGTGGGAGGTGATTGGCATCATGCAGATGCCATTACGTCACTTCTGGCATAACCCAGTGATGTCATCATGTCAGGAAACATTCTAGCATTCACCCCAAACTCTATGGTTAAACCATAGAGTTTGGGGTAAATGTTAGCGCCAGTGGCCAGCCTTGGGCTGGTGGCCCTAGGTAAGAAAAAAATAAAACTTGAAATGATTTAAAAATATATGTATTATTTGTGCAGAAACGATCTCATACAGTCACAATATTCCTGGCAGTATAGTTGGACACCATTAAACTTTATACCTTTTTTGACAGTGTTAAATTTTTCGATGTGTTATCACTATACACATTATGACATTAACTATGGACAAAACGTTCAAATGTGACAAATATCTTTCAAAATATGTTTTATGATTACTCTAATCCCAGGGATTATTATGTAATGCTGTAGATTCTTATGTTAAGACGTTCATGCTGTGTGTTTTGAGTGAGTAAAACTAGGTCTTTAAAAGCAAGTCATTCATTGCACAAGGGAAAAAAAACATTCATAGGAGTCTCTCCTCCCTGCCCTCCCAGTTTCTAATTTTTTTCCCTCTGGAAAAGTTTTTAGAAGGTCTTGGGGTGGGGCAGGGTTGCTATCTTTGGGTTGGGAAATACCTGGAGACTGGGGGGGGGACCCTAAGGAGCGGGGATTTGGGGAGGTGAGGGACTTGGGTGGGGTATAATGACATAGAATTCACTCTCCAAAGCAGCCATTTTCTAGAGGTGAACCGATCTCTGTCAGCTGGAGACTGTAATAGCGGAAGACCTCCATCCACCACCTGGAGGTTGGCAGTCCTAGGTGGGGGAGAACAATTCCACCCCCCTTGGTCCTTCGGTTCTTTCCCGGTATAAATGCATTCTGCTGAAATTGCATTTCTCAGGCTGAGACTTTGGCTTCTGTGCCACTGATGTTCGTCTGAGTTGTAGAATATTCAGAACCGAATCCTGGGCGAACGCCGACTTATTAGTTGCTTGTGTTAGCTCAGCAGTGTTTGGTTCTTAATTTAATCTTTCATGCCCCAACAGGCCTCTGAAGTAGTCATGCTCACAGCATGAATTTGGCATTTTTCCCAATGAATGGGCCTTGTTTCCTCTGTGTGTGTGTGTGTGTGTGGCTCATTTAATTTTTTTCTTCTTTAACTTTTCATACTCTGATTTCTTTCTGGCCTGCACAGCTGACAAGGACATTAACCAAAAGGGAAGCAAAGTCCTCTGTGTCTACCTTTTCTGGGTCTGGAGGTTTAATAAAAGAAACACACCGTAAAGAGTGCCTGAGGGGGGGGGGGATGGGTCCTGTCATCTCTTGCGTTAACCTCAGACATATTTCTCGGCAAACGTTAGGAGAGCGGCGAAATTTTCGAAATGTCTCAATGCTTTATGACCTCTAAACCAAGCCAACAGGATGTGTGTCTGCCCTGGCTTCCTTTTCCCCCAAAGTTCAAGAAGTCATTCCGGGCCTTTATAGCCTCTGCTCCTTCCACTGTTACTTCCTGTTTTCTGCACACCCAAAGAGAGCGTCCAGCCTTCAGGGGTGTGGAGAACTAGCTGAAGAAGTGCTGGCAGAGAGCGCTGGCTTGAGGGGCCCTGTGTTCCAGTAGCAGTGGAATACCGCGAGCAGGTTTACGTCCTAACTCCTTGGGAGGACGGAAAAGAATGCCGCAGAATGGAGTGAGATTTGGATCCGGCAGCTTCTGGGTTTCAGGGTGAGCACGCTGAGGACATACGTTGATTGGCTCTTCGCTTTGGTCTGAACGCCTGTGCATGCTGGCTGTTAACAGAGGGAGTGTTGTTTCTTAGGAAGAACATCTCTGTTAACTTCTTTTTTTAAAATCTGAGTTGGCTTTGGTTGAGAGGGAATGTTTGGCATCAACGATTGAGGTGAAATGTCGGGGAGGACTGTGCTGGAGCTGGAATGTTGCTCTGTATTCTCTGTGTTCAACTTCCGTGTTACGATTAGGGCCCAGGAAATTAAGGGAACTGACAGTGCAGTCCTGAACAGAGTCCCACCCTTCACTTCACTGGAAAAGGCTGCAACGCTGCTTAGGACAGCACTGCTTGTTCAGCTTGGGTGGTGCCCATCAAGATGGCAGGATGGGCTTCAATCACTGATTTAAATCATTACTTACAGCCCCTGGCGGGGGGGGGGAGAGAGAACATTTTAAAATCGTGTTCCGTCTAGGGCTGCCAAATGTGGGCGGGGGGCGGGGAATCTTTGAAGCCCCGATTTCCGATGTGGCGGAATCGGGGCCCGGGGGAACCCCGCCCCCGGTGTGCGCATCACTAGCAAGTGACGTGGGCACGCCGGGCACGCTTGGGGCGGGGCCACGGCCATACAAGGGAAAACTCCTATGTTTTTCCCTTGTATGGCCGTGGCCCCGCCCCCAGCGTGCCCAGCGTGCCCATGTCACTTCCGGGTGATGTGCGCGCACTTTGCGCGCGCGCCCAACCCCGACGCCAGCCGGGAGCCGCCCGCTCCCGGTGAAGATGGATTTGGCAACCCTAGTTCCGTCATCTTGTAATTGGGGTATCGTTCTGTGAGTACTTGCAGTAATGGGTCACTGCAGCAACACGGCTGTGCAACTAAAGGGATCCCTTTTTATAATTACCAATAGGAATAGCCAGACTAGCCTGAGCTTGTTAGAGATCAGAAGCTAAGAGGGTCAGCCATGGTTAGTGCTTGGATGGGAGACCACCAAGAACATCTAGGTAGGGCTACCAAGCAGAGGCAGGCAATGGCAAACCACCTCTTCTCATCTCTTCCCATGAAAACCCTATGAGGGCTCGTCATGAGTCAGTTCGTGTTGTGACTTGACAGCACACTACTACTACTACTACTACTACTACTTCTACTACTACTTCTACTACTACTCTCAAAATAAACCCCATTTGTGCTATAGAATTATACCTGCTTCAGGGCAAAAGGGGGAAATAATAGCCAAACAGAAGTCCCTGAATTCTACCTGCACATGTTTTAAGGATGTTTAGCAAGACTGCTTGCTCTGATACTTTTTGGAAGCAAAAACTGGTTGTTTAACAGGCAGAGAAAGCGGAAAGTGTCTATGGTATTTGGCTGGTTGGTTGGTTATCAATATTCATAATTGTCATGCTAAAACATTACCTGTGGTGTCAGACTTCTAATGTTTGATTTCAAGAATCCAATAATCTTTTTGTGTAGCAAAAACAGGTTTTGACTGGATATGTTTTGAGGTCACGTATTCATCTTTTAAAAGCTATCTTTTCTATTTATTTATAGTCTGCCTTTGTCAATGAGACTCAAAGTGGATTAGGCAGCGTAAGAGTGCAGTCAACAGGATGAGACATCATTACGCAATATGATAGGACTTGGTTTTAAGTACTGCAGTATTTTACAGTAAATATGCATATGGAGCTGCGGTGGCTCAAGTGGTTAAGACGCTGAACTGCAGGCTGTGGAAGGTCGGTAGTTCAGCAGTTCGAGACCCGAGTTGCCGCATGACGGAGTGAGCTCCTGTCTCTAGTTCCAGCTCCTGCTAACCTAGCAGTTCGAAAGCAAGAAATTGCCAGTAGATAAATAGGTACCACCCCAGTGGGAAGGTAACAGCGTTCCGTGCGCCTTGGTGTTTAGTCATGCTGGCCACATGACCACGGAAACGTCTTCGGACAGCGCTGGCTCTTCGGCTTTGAAACAGAGATAAGCACCGCAAACCTAGAGTTGGATTTGACTGGCTTTCGAGCAAGGGAAACTTTACCTTTAACTTTTTATGCATATGGCAAACTAGCCACAATGGTGAAGCATGTACGGAAACATTTTTGAAGGGGACAAACTCTTTAAGCCATTCAGACATGTTTAAGAGATGTAGACTATAATATGTTGTTCTGACCGGGAAAGTGAAGGGGACAAACTCTTTAAGCCATTCAGACCTGTTTAAGAGACTATAATATGTTGTTCTGACCAGGAAGGTGCAGGCTAGCTTGATCTTGTTAAATCTTGGAAGTTAAGCAGGGTTGGTTAGTATTTGGATTGGAGACCACCAACGAAGTCCAGAGTCGCTATGCAGAGGCAGGCAATGGCAAACCACCTCTGAACATCTCTTGCCTTGAAAACCCTAATGGATCGCCATAAGTTGGCTGGAACTTGATGGCAAGAAAAAAGACTTTAATATGTTAATTTCACATTGCAACCAGATCACTTTAAAACGCGTATTTTGAATACCTTCAAAAATCTGTGATGTAATTGCTGGTATCTTTGTAAGTTGCACTAATGTGCACATCCAAAAATGGAAAGTGTAAATGCAGCAAAGTTTGTGTTACAGATGTATGTATTGTACAAATACATTTCTTCGAGAGCTGGGTCTAGCTCATTGGTAAATGTACGAAAATTGAGTTTGTTGCTCCATTCCAGGTGAAATGGCCAAACACTAACTTATTGCCCTTATTCCTTTGTTTTTTTTCTTTTCAGAATACTGAACTCCACTCCTCACAAGTCCACAATGGCAGTGGATGTTGCAATGCAGTTGTACCTGCGCTCGCCCTCTTTCCGAAGGGACAGCTTTGCTTACAAAATCGCTCCGAAGCCCAAAAAGCCTTTGCGGCCCTGCATCCATTTAAACAATAGAATGGAGTTAAATGACCTGGGAGCAGAAGTCCAAAAACTACAGAACGCCAAAGTAAAAAAGAGGGTATCCTTTGCAGACACCAGGGGCTTGGCTCTGACGATGGTGAAAGTGTTCTCTGAGTTCGATGACCCGTTGGATATTCCATTTAACATCACGGAATTAATAGACAACATTGTGGGCCTGACAACGGCAGACAGGGACGATTTTGTCTTGGATTTTGTACAGCCTTCCGCCGACTATTTGGACTTCCGCAATCGCCTCCAGGCGGACTATGTCTGCCTTGAGAACTGCATGCTGAAAGATAAAGCTATCTCTGGCACCGTGAAAGTTAGGAATCTTGTGTTTGAGAAGGCTGTGAAGATCCGGATGACATTCGACACCTGGAAAACCTTCACAGACTATCCATGCCAGTATGTCAAAGACACGTATGCGGGTTCAGATAAGGACACCTTCTCTTTTGAGATCAGCTTGCCCAAGAAAGTTCCGCCCCACGAAAGGATGGAGTTTGCAGTGTGTTATGAAAGTGACGGCAGAGTGTACTGGGATAGCAACAAAGGCCAGAATTACAGGATCATGCGGTCAGAACTGAAATCCGCCCTGGAGATTTCCCAACCTCAGAGCGAATCTGGTTTTGGGATTGCCTTTGACCAGTTTGGAAGTCCAAGGTGCTCCTACGGCTTATTTCCTGAATGGCCAAGTTATTCAGGGTATGAAAAGCGCGGGCCTTATTACTGAATGAAAGACATGGTCTGTGTATTTAAATGTATGAGGTTTTTAAGGGGAGAAAAACTTGGCATTTGCTGCGATGCGATGGTCGCCAAAGGTGTGTGTTTATAGAGCTGCAGAAAGTGAAACGCAAGGGACTCGTGAAATGCCTGACTGCAGATAGGCTGTTCTTGCATTGAACAGCTAGAAGAAACGGGAGAGGTCATTCGTGTTTCGGAACACCACTGCTTGCCTCCCAGTCCAGTCCAACGCTCATTGCTTCGGTTCAGGCACTGTTTTGCTTGTTCATCAGTGCGAGGTACGTTGCAATATTGCAAACTGATTTTGGAGGAAGACTCCCCCCTTTTTGCATTATGGAGACAGAGTTGGCTGTTCCTCACGAGAAACCATAGAGGTGGCAGCCTGTGGGTTGGGAGCAGAGCCCCCTAACTGGGTTGTCGATCCATGGGAGACCAAGACTTTTTCTTTTTGGCGCAAAACAGAAGACGCTGTAAAATCGCCATTAGAAATGGAACAATGACTGTACTTCCTTCCATATTAGGAAATGCTTTCATTTCTGGGGAAGATACCAGGGTGCTTACTCACCATTCTGCCTGCATTTCTGTCTTCCAGAAAAGAACGAAATGTATTCCTTAAAATAGCAGTGGTGGAGGTGTCTTTCTGTAGGACAGTCATGTAATTGTGTCGCTTCAGAGCAAGCATACGTTAGCATACGATCGGGGCTTCCATTTTATTTTTCAGCCTGAAAAGAAACCTGTTTTGCTTTAATGTGCCTTGACAAATTTCACTTTATTGGGGGGGAAGGTAGGCAAGAAGTATACTTTTGTAAAAAAATCTATAACTTCCTGTGCTACCATCTTATTTAAATATACAGCCCCCCCCACCATGTGGCCTGATAGATGCCGCTGTTTTTGTTTTTCTTTTACTACCGTTTTTAATTAACGTTTATACAGTGGTTACAGATTGGAACCATGTTACTGACAGGATATTGAATAAAGGTTATTGATTGTATATAAGGGATATTTGTTACTTCCGGTTTCGCATCCTCCACCATGTAGATAAATGGGGGGGGTTTTTTAGAAACAACCAAGGATATCTCGTTCCTGCAAGGCAAAATTGCCCCTCCCCCGCAGCCAAAATTCCACAGACTTCCTCCTCTTTAAATCACACAATTGTTTGTCATTGGCAAATTATTCCAGTAGCACCTTTTGTCCTACCACTCAGCCAAGTGTGAAGTTTTCCAAAATGCTTTCCTCCAACGGAAGAGGCTCTTAGAAGTCAGCAGACGATGGCAGACTTGGCTGAGCAGGAATGGTAGGATAAAAGCTGAGGTTTCCTGGTTCAGCGGGATCTCCATTCCCAAGCCCTTCTTAATGTGATTTGTAAAACACTAATGGAATCTTCAGCGATCGAAATGCCTGCTGCAACCTGGGCGTCTTAACTTGCTGGGAAGCTTACCCTGCGTTAGCACCGTGACCATAGTATCCAGGCCACAGCGTATTTGTCTGGTCCCTTCTGCCCATCGCAAGCAAGTTGTTTCAAGGCCCAAAGCATGCAGAACGAAACTGACTTGTGGAATGCGGGAGTGTCACCGTGAAGCGAATTCAGCTATGCCAGTTCGAGATGAACATGATGGTACACCAGCAGGCCCTGTAAATATTGTTGTATGAGATTTGCCGGGCAGTCCTAGGCAGTTAACACGCTTCTAAGTCCATTTGAAATCAACGTGCTTAGAAGGGCGTTAACTCCGTCGAAGACGGCACTGTGAGACTCCTTATACCCAGTGATGAAATAGCAGTTCTTTGTTATGGGCAGGCGTCTCCGGCATGCAAAACAACGGCCCAGAAGGTTTGGCCAGCCTAGTAATTGAGGCGCAAGTGCTTGTCTTAAAACGCTACCTAATATTTGCACACCGAAAGGGTTCTAATCGGCGGCCACTGAAGGGCTACGACTAGCTTAAAAAAAATTCTTTCCTCAAGAGCTGGCTTTTCCTTAAGAACAGGTTGTTAGTTCAGGTTGCTGGCCCGGAACTTGAATGCACAATTGGCACAGTAATGGAGCTGTGTATTGTAAACAGTGACTCAAGCACCCAAGTGTCCTTCGATACCTGGTGTTTTAACATAACCACATCCCTCCAGAGTAGACATCAGCATCTTGAGGCCCTTGGCCTAAAAGTTAGCTCTTTGGGAGTGATGCCTACCTACTTCCTGTCCTGGCCAAACATGAGAGGAAGAAAGGGTGCGTGTGGAAAGTTCTAGCAAACCGTTTCGGAGAAAAGCAACTGGGGCCTTGACTGTTCTCAAAGCGGTCCTAAGACAAAAACTAGTTGCTGACTCAGACTTTAATGGGCCAAAAAAAATCATTCATTCATCCCCCCTTTCTTTTTTCTACAGTTGGGCTAAATGCCAGATTTTGTTTTCTGGAGGGATGGGGGTGCGGGAAAGGGTTTTTATTTTTAGTACAGCAAACCATGATGAGGTACAACCAATAGCAGCTACTGGAATATGTCGCCTCAATTTTTATGCATTAGGATTTTAGGTGGAGAATTACAGAAAGTGTTAAAAGGGTACTGTCTTGACTCTTCTCTCCCCCCCCCCAACGCTCAGATGTTTTCTTCTAAGGACCTCTTGCGAAAGTATAAATGCAAAAATCTGATTCCCTTCCGCAAAAAAAACCAACCCAAAAACCCAACCAAGTAGAGTTTGGGATTGCAGTGGGGAGATAGTTCCATCCTGTCTAGCTGGACATTTAGTTTGTAGCAATTCCTTGCAGTTCACAAGAAAACAGTGTAACTTTTGCATTTTACTTCTGAGTGGAAGTGATGCATTGAGAAATTTGAGAGGTGTAACTTTTGCATTTTACTTCTGAGTGGTGATGCATTGAGAAATTTGAGACCACTGGCAGTGTGGGCTGTTCCTTACAACACCCCCTAGATTTTGATGCAACAAACAACGTTCATTCATTGAGAAAGCTGCTTGATCAATAAAGCAATCCACTCACCCAGGTTTTCTTGATAAATCCTGCACGATTGGATCACATATGAGGGCTGGGCTGGGAAACGAAGGAAAGGGGGTTGAAGCCTTTGCACTAGGAATGCCAGCAGAACCGGGAACGTTAACCACCAAGCTGATTTAATTCAAAACTGAACTTCCAGTGTCTTCCACAAATCTGGCCTCCTGAGGGTCTTCTGTCGGGAGTAAATTGTTTTCTCTGGTAGCCCGTGGAGGTCCTTCCGGTTACTCATGAGGACAGAAGCTTTAAGTTTGTTCCTTTAACTTGAAATTATTCTGAACTGTGCCTACAATTTTTCTTTACGAACGAATGCAGTCTTCGGTATGGTGGTTCTCTTGAAAAATGGGAGGAAACTTGGTTACAGGCTATGCCTAAGGGGCGTATGTGTGTATGTATGTGACTTGCCGGGCAGCGGATGGAAATAAGACTGTGAAATGGAAACCCAGGATGGTTTTCTGACATTTCCTTGAATTACAAGCTCTCTTCCCCTCCTCCCCCCTGTTTTAAAGTCAAGTTCTTGGACTTGTGTCTGCCTTGCCAATGTGAATGTAACCGAGGGATTCTTGTCCTCCTGTTATGCTTCCGAGTGCCTTGCATGTTTTTAAATATTTTGTACAGGACTGAAAAAATGCACTTTATTAATCACCAATGGATTTATTTTCTGTAGTATTTTCTGTAATGGTTTTTGGTTTTTATCAGATGGCAAAAAAAGCAATAAATGTTGAACAAAACGTAACGTCTCCTTGTGTCTTGGCATATCGTTTCATTAAAGGGATTGAAGGCAGTGACTCCCAGAGTGGGGCCCTATAGAAAGAATGTCATGGGAGAATTGTACCAGACATCCTGTTCCTTCCCAAGTTTACTCAAAAGTAATGGAGCGCATGAAGCTGCCTTCTGAATCAGACCACTGGATTGTCTGCTCAGACTGGCAGTGGTTCTCCAGGATCTTCAGTGAAAGTCTTTTACATCACCTCCTGCCTGGTCCTTTCAGCTGGAGAGGCTGGGGGATTGAACCTGTGCCCTTCTACATGCAAAGCAGATGCTCTACCCAGGGCCGGCTCACCCACTAGGCAAACTAGGCATTCGCCTAGAGCGCCGGACCTTGGATGGGGCGGCAAGCCCTGGGTGGGGCGCTGAGCTGGGCCTCCCCCCGCCCTCTTTTTCTTCCCTCGCCCCCCCGAGGAGGAGGCCAAGGGATGGAGGAGCTGGTCCCGCTGCGGGGTTGGCCGAAGAGAGGCACGCCTCTCTCCCCCCCCCCTTCAGTGGTAGACGCCAAGCTGTGCCTCCCCCCCTCCTCTGGTAGCAAAAGGGTGGCTGGCTCCAGAGGTCTCCAGATCTCCAGGCCCCACCGGGAGGTTGGCATCTGCGCCACACGGCAGCCACACCTAGGGCGCAGAAACACCTCGAGCCGGCCCTGGCTCTACCAATGAGCCATAGTTCTTCAAAATTAAATTGCATGTGGAATTATAGCCTAAATTTAGGAGCAAAATTGCGTATCTAAACCAGGTCTGGTAATTTGCACTGTAATCCTAAACAGCTACACCCTTCTAAATCCACTGATGTTAATGGGCTTAGAGCATTGTAACTCTTGTTTAGGGTTGCATCATTAGTTTTAAGACCTGTTGCTTACCCCATCTGCACATTTTAACTCTGCAAGATGACCTGTTTGGAGTAGCAACACTTTTCACAAGGGCCCGAGTTGCAACGTAAAAGAATAATGGGTGAAAACCTAAAACTTGCTGGAGTCTGTTGCTCAAGTTTGTATTTGTCAAGATTTTTGAGAACAATTACAGTTCCTGGCTGTTAACCTATTTCTATAGGCATCCTTCAATTTCTTTCAGACTTTTAGCAGGCAAGAAGCCAACTTGGGTGAAGAACAATACTAGGACCTGTTTAGACACTGTAACGTGTAAGGAAGGCGATTTTGCAGTGTGAAGAAGTGTCTTTCTTTCCAGATAGTTTGATGAGATAAATGTTTTCAGTTACTCAAATGGGGCAAACTGCATATTTTAGAAGCAAGTAAATAATACCAGAGCTTAGTTCAGAGAAAACCCTGTGAATCAAGAGCTCACCTTCCATTTTACGGAAGATTAAAGAGGGCTGCTGAGATTGACACCATGACATTACTTTTACAAGGCTCAAAACGGGTATGAGGCACCCTTTTATAAATGTATTCATGCCCAACCGGTTTGTCATGTAGCTATAATTGTCTGCCAGCAAGATTGTTCCAGCAGCACCTGAGGTTAGAATTTCAGTTTTTGGACAGATGAAAAGTTATACCTTTTTTCACTTTTGATAAGATGTTTATTCTTTGTAGAATAGCATTGGTGCCCCTTCACTTATAAGTGATAAGAGACAAAAGAAAAGCCCACACACACACGCA